AACATCCCCGTGTCGCCTCAGATATTTTTATAAATAAATGTACTTTTACATTATATTATCGCCGGCTCGGGCAGGAAAGAACCAACTTCGTTGATTTAGCTTAATAAATTACTTTATTTATTCTAGGCACAACGCTGGAGAACACGACGCGCGCCGATCATCGCAGTCGTGGTGCGCTGATTATACCCGGGAATCTCGAAGAGAGCGGTTCAGAACGAGATCCAAACCGCTCGACGATTATTATTTCACTCGCAGCTACACGCTGCCATGCATGCGTTCTCGATCCAGCGACCGGTCGCGTTGTAGTCAAAATAAATATAGTCCTTTTTCATCTTCTCCGTCTCTTTAAAGTAATACGACACGTGTATGTGTGTGTATATATATTAATTATTATTATGTTTCTCAAATTTTGCATGAATTAAATATACACGATTTATAAAATAACAATTCACACGTCGACGCTTCGAAGTTTTACGAACTGAGAGACAATTTTGCGAAGATTTCACTCTCTTTCGAGAGATATCCCGAAGTAAGCTCGGAAAAACAGATGCGAGGGATAAAGGCTCTCCCGTGAATCCCCTTCGGACACGTTAAATAAACCCTCCGACCGAACGTTCCTTTCGCTTGGAAAAATACGATCTCGCCTATATACATTATATCGGATTTATTATGATTGCGTGTGCGTTCTCGTTTTTTCTCTCTCTTACGAATATGTACATACAGCTTATTGCGCGCTTCGAAGCAAAGCTGCGATCTCTTCGGTACTCACGACAGAATTATATTGGAGGAAAAGCCAAAGGGTCTGTCGTGTATCTGTGATACAATAATTTCGATTATTTGTATCCTTAGGTGAAATATAATTTCTGAATTACATAACGTAGGTACAGAGCGGGCGAAATATTGCCTCCGTAGAATCGCGCGACAAAATATCGCTCAGCATCTTTATTTAAGCGAAATACTCGTGTCTCTCTGAACGCGTTTCGAGTATTATAATTTCAGATATTATAATCAAAACGTAATTTTCAATGATTAAAGCCGAAATACATCCTTACACGAGGATACGCGACGAATCTCGATTAGGTATCTTTTTTTTTTCTTATTCCAGTCGAGGATTTCGGATTCGCTTGGAATAATTTACGGAATGTATTTTTTTTTCTCGAATAAAATAGCCGACGACAACACTTATTTACAGTCACGTGTATTTACACTAATTACAAGCACCGTAACGCATAGTAATTCTCTTCGGGAAAAAAAAAAAGAAAGGAAAATTACACGTCATCCGCGTGACGACTTTCGATAGAACTCATTCGCAGTCTCGTATTCGTTTTATGAAAATGCTCAGTCAAGAAAGACAAGCTCAGCGATCGTAATGTCGGTATTGCATTACTTTGGCGTGGCGTGGCTTTTCGTCGAATTGGATTATATAGAGGAGACGAAGGGAAAGGGAGTTTCTCGTTCCGCACGCGAGATCCGTCCTTCCTCTCGTCGCGACACTTTTTTTCCTGGGGGAGAGGGGAATAGATATAAAAATCTTGCGCTACAATTATGTATAAATCGATCTCTACGGCTTGCGTATCAATTGTATAATTGAGTCAGCTTTTTTTTAGCTTGTCTCCGTCGTCATTCACGCAGCTTCCTGCAAACATGCGCGCACATTTTCGATATATTTGACACACACAACACACACACATTTTTTGACACACATACACGCACGCACGCGAGGAGACAGAAAGAGACAATTATATATATAAGGCACAGAATACACATTATTTATATTAGATTATATGTATTACAATTATATTATTTCGAAACGAAAAATGTGCTTTGAAATATTTATGTAGATTTATCTTTTTATAAAAGACAATTGCAGAGACGACAAGAAGTTGAATTGAATAAACATAAATATTGTGAAGTGCAATTTCGAGATCATATAATTGTAATATATATATGCATATACATACATACGAGCGATAAATATATACACACGCGCGGTTGCACAGCCCCGATAAATTAAGAGAGAAGGCGAGGAGGTAAAAGGAACTTATACGATGTAAGTCGAGCTCCATACTTTACAGAAAACGTTATCGGCGACGTGTAGACTGAACGCGTCACATTTACATAGTATATATATATTTTATATATATATACACATTACATATACATATATATTAATTTCCTGAGAATATTAATTAACTTTTCGATATAGCCCCCGGCTCTGAACAAGAGTGATATAAACGAAAATATGTTATGTACATACTCTTGAAGTAATACATTTGATCTACATATAAATTTGATTAACATTTTCACATATAAATTATACCAAATTATGAACCTTGGAAAAGTTAATTAACATCCTCAACGATAATCGTTATGCATATGAGAAATCATTTAATATTCGGTTTCAAGAATGCCTTTTACAGCGGACGAAGCGCGATTACAGGAATATTAATTACTTTGTGCCCTAATATTATCACAAAAAAATGAGTCAGCATCTTGCTCCGATTAGAATCATCCTAACTAATCATTCTCGACGTATGACATACTGACTCGACTATTCTCGTTCAAGTCTTAATGATTACGAAGATCATATGTACATTCGCTGGTCATATTACTCGGGGTGATAATAGAAAAGTATATATAGTTTATATTACGCTTATATTCCATATATGTATATATATATAATATTATATTATCTTGCTACAAGAAATCCAGTTGTATTTTATGCCAGCATAATCATCATGGATGTGTAATCATCGACCAAAATTTGATTTAAAAAAAAAACAAAAAACGAATGAGTCTCACGTTTTACATGGCAGCATTGTTAATCTTTTTTTACGATGTTGCACGGAATATCTCTAACAATTCTCAATTAATTGGATAAAATCGATAGTCTTTTAATCCTCAGAAAAGCTCCCGAAATTTTTCCGAAAGATCACCTTCTTCAAAGCTATACTATTCTCTCTTATAGAATCGTTCTTACAGAACATATTGTTTTTGGATACGGTTATATTTTTAGACACCTGTGCGTGCAGGTGCAGGTATAAAGTAATACTGTGTAGATAGACGTATTTTTCACTTGGATAAATTCTCTCCCTAGCAAGTACGAGTTGTACATAATGAAACGATGCCTCATATACATCAGTATGTCTACAGGATTATTGTACTTTCGGTGACAGTTATGATCAAACGGTGCCAGTTCTGACGCGACTTCCTCGTGGATCGTGACCGTCATTATGATCGAAGCCGGCTATTTATTTGCAAATACGATATCTGTAGAATATTACATTTTACATAACAGCAATCTGCATGAAGAAATTGATAGAATTCCATGTTAATCCTTCTGACAAAAATTTATCTGTCGATCTTTCTTTATCTATAAAAATTCAGCGAATTTTCTCTAAATGATCTTAAATTAATAGACGACACTATCTTATTATTATCACAATTTTTTTAATGCAACTTTTTGGTTAAAATTTATCCAAGTAAAAGCTGTTAAATTTATCTTTGTTTTGCTTACATAGAAATATCTTTCTCTACACTTGAATTTCGTATCGAAACGAAAGGTATGCTCTTTTTCTTCTTGTTTTTCTTCTTCATGTAACAACTTAACTCACGTATTATATTTGGAAGTTCAGTTCTACATTGACTGATGGACTTGGGCTAAGTTAAATATAATTGCGTCTAGATAAGCCACACGCATTAAAAGTTCGCGATCCGAACTGTTCAGCGGTTCTCCTTCTGCCTATAGACATTGAAACAAGAACTTAGTGAACGCAGAATTATTTATGGAAAAAAAATCACCGTCTAAAAGACTGAGGGATATTTGATATAAATTTTCTAGAAACTCTGCCCAGCAAAAGTAACCCGATCGATGAGTCATTATTTGTCTTTGCGTAATATCCAGACCGAAAATGTGGAAAGCTGTAATAAGTCTCCATCGCGATACGATTTACGTTCTAGTCCAGTACGTCCAGTACCTCTAGCCACAGGCCACCCACAGGCATATAAATTATAAATAAATTCATTTTTGATCCAAAACTCCCAAGCTCCCCAAGCTTGACGACCAATTTCAAATTTAATTTCTCCTCCGAAAGATAGCCCAGTTTCTCCGCACGAGCCCCACTACTCGTGCGGGGGGTGCAGTTTGGAATATAAAAATTCCTGTGATCAGGTGGACTCGAATCCGGTTCCTCGGAGTTACGAGTCTGTCGCTTTATCACAAGACCACACTGCCACCCCGATAACATCATACTTTCGGACCCCATTCGAGTATCCCGTTTCGATCGTGACGGATAATCGTGTGTTTTTGCGAACGAAGGTAACAGAACGGCGGAACGTGATCGGGTCAGATTGCGAATGATTAGTTCAGTCGACACGGCTTGGTAGTCGTATTCGCAATAAGAAGCGACGTCGTATATATTTATGAAGAAAAAGAACCAAGGAACATTTTACATAAATACAATTAATTCTTACATACCAAAAGAAAACAATACGGTCACTGAGTTTCGGCAGTCACGCGAGCGAATGTAGCATTTTCTAATTTTAAGTACTCAAAGAGATACGTTTTACTGTCTATCTACACAGTATTACTTTATACCTGCACCTGCACGCACAGGTGTCTAAAAATATAACCGTATCCAAAAACAATACGTGGTACGACTCCTTACCTATGCACTAGGTATCTTTTTACGAAAACTAGAGAATTACCACCGAGAGGATATTTGAACATTGCGACGTACATTACTTCTTTCGTGCAATCCTTGTCTCTTCACGTTGCCTCGACGTTTCCCGTAAGACACTAGTACCGACGCTGCTAATGATAAGAGTGATGGCAACGATGATCGATGATGATCGCGATAGCGAAGCGACGCGCTTATCACACGCGAGCACGACGCGTCCGTGAAACAATGTTGTTACTCTAAACTCACCGAGTACTTATGCGATAATTTGTTCGTTCGGCACCGTTGAGTTGGCGATAATTCGAGAGAAGGGGAAGTGTTCTCTACGAATCGCAGCGAATTTTTTTCGGGTCCCACTCGCGAGGGGGTCGGACGACGCGCACGTGAACACGATCCCGGGGTCCCAGAGCGAATCGCAGCTTGCTGCGAATCCGGGCGATTTGTTGCTGCGCGACGAAACTCGACGACGAGGACGACGACGACGATGCAGACGACAGGGAGGGTCGCAGATGATTCCATCGTATGGATGAGCATCTGTAAAGCACGCACCGTCGTGCCCGTGACTCCACGGGCTACACGGCGCAGCCCTTCCTCGTGCCATACAACACCTTCAACTCCGGCATGATGATCTTTTTGATAAGCGCGTTCGTCTTGGCGGTGAGCATATCGCGATGCGGATCCTTCTTGAAGATCTTGATGCCGGGCCGATGCACCAGGAAGGCATTGTCCAGGATGAGAAAGTCATAATCGAGAACGCAGAGCGCGTAACCCTGCAAGCGTTCGCCAACGATTATTTGATTGCTGACGAAATTATCAATATAATAGAACAGATAATATAAAAGATGGTAGAATTTTTTACTTTTAACTTTTTATACATATATATTGTCTAATTATATCGTTAAAGAGAAATATTAATGCTTAATTATCATTCTAAATTATACGTTATACTTAAAATACATCATTATCTTTTCTGAAATCCATTGATGTTTCAAGGTAATAACAATTTTTTATTTTTTTTTGCGTCGCATTCTTATTCTAGATATTTTGCATGGATAGGTAATGTTTACCTGCGTCATTTTATCGCTCTTTCCCTCCCAACTGAGCCTTTCGTCGTAAAAAGGATCGTTATTGGTCCCGATAAAGATCGGCTCCCAGTGTACGAAGCTGCCAGTCCTCTTGCCGACGTGAAACACATGCAGGTCCTCCGTCTCTGGAGCTTCCTGCCATTCTTTACTTTTCGGCACGTTATGGCAGCCGGAGCATAATTTCTTATGAAAGGGTATGGCGGTGCCCGCTTTCAGCATCTGTATCTACAAATTTACATGGATTCGTCGAAACGGCGCTTTGCAACGAGTTGTTCGAGATGCACGTAAACAAATCCGTTTCCGTTCCCAAAAATATCCGTTCCGATTACGAGCGTTTTGTGAGGATAAAAATGAGTTACTGGGCGTTATCAGATCTGTGACGTTTCGACCTCCGACATACCGTTCATCTACGTTGAGAAACAAATAAAAAGGATAAAAGAAACGCTACGCAGATGATCTGTACAATCGGTCTCTGTTATGCCGCGCTAGTTCTGAATATGAACACGACAAAAGGTGTATTGTGCGCGGTGCCGTGCCGTGCGATACGCACGCACGTCGGCCGGACAATAGCAACGCTAATTCTACGTATCAAGGTCCACGGTCAAAGGAAGCTCCATTGATTCGCCGTCGACCCTCGCGCGTCCGCGCTATTAACGACACGACAGTCGGACACACCGTCGGCCTCGTCGCGCTCTCTTTCGCGCGTGCTTAATTGCCCCTGACGGACCACGGACCGGCGAGCGATGCGCGAAACGTACCAGGCGCGTCTTATTGTTAGGCGGCTGATTCTTCTCGTCCACCTCGAAGATGGACAGCACGAAGACCTTGGGATTGGGCTTGTAGAGAGCCGGCTGATCCCGCTTGCGGATCATCTCGAGGAACTTGACGGGCAGGTTCGGGCTGGGATACAGCTCGATGTCGCTGGGGAACACGTAGAAGGTGGGCGCGGACTCGCGCGCTATGTTGCGGCCCACGTTTACCGGGTACAGCAGCTTCTTCTCGTTTTTGTACATCTTCGCGAGGCTGACGTTCACCCATGGCGCCCCGAGCGAGCAGTTGTACGTGTCGGAGGCGATCTTCTCCGACGGCGGTATCTAAGACAGGATCGAAAATCGAGCATTTGAAAAGGAAACTTCAACATCAGGAAACTTCAAGTTCGAGCGAAACAGTTTCGCAAGATTACTAACGTAATTGCATAAAAGCTTTTTAATATTTCATATTTTTATACATATATATATTTTTTTATGTTTTAATATCGTCAATTGTATCATTAGATTGTGAGATAAGCTAGAGAGAACATTGCATTTTGTTGGCATCTTCGAGGGAAGGAATATAATGCTAGTGAACGACAGGATATTCATGTATGCAGGACAAGTGGTTTCCGATTGTAATCGCGATTACGTTAAAGACTCGTTTGCAAAACGCGAGCCACGCGAGCTTCGTCCCTCGCGAACGAAACCGCACGCGGAAACCGCGAGGCTGTTTTACGATGTCTAGATACGCGTATCCGTTAGACCCGAGGTGCTTACACTACAAATAGACAGCAATAACAGCAACGAACAATCCGGGTTCGTGGTACGAGCTAAATACCCTTCGCGGACGAATTGCATATGCATAAGGTAGATTCGTGCACGCACCACATTCGAGAAACATATTATCGCAGTCTGATATCGAATCTTTAATTAATTTGTCGTAGTTCTTGGCATTAACAAATGGAATAACTTATTGATTTTTTCCGTGAAATGGCCAACAATTGTAGAAAATGATACCGAAGAAAAGAATCCTGTTTTGTCTGATAAGAAAAAATCGCCACAAAAGGTCTAAAAGATCTCTCATTTAATATAAATAAATATTCTTATAATTTCGCGAATGTAAGTATAAGATTAATAGCAATTGTAACATTAATAATTGTTTTGTGCGTAACAAATTTGATCCTTAAATACGCAATTTTTCGTAACATTCTGAATATTTTTTGAATATTTTTCCCCTTCTAGATCTTCCCATCCAGAAAGGAAAGAAGGGTCAGAAGGATCAGAAGAGCCAGAAGGGCCAGAAAGGCCAAAGAAGGCCAGATGTGCAGAGCATGTTTTCAGTTTGAATTTCATAAGGGAGAGCACACAGATCACCGAAAAGTCGCTGCGCATATATACAAAGCTGAGCACTTACGGGTTAATGTTAATATCGCAGGCTTTAGCGTGATTCTTTTGAGATTCTAAATACGGAATATCGATCAACGTATCATATTAGCGTACTCGATACTTGCGAGATAATTAGATTCAGGACTGTGCAGAACTCTCGGGAAGGATTTGGTGAACACGCGGTGCATTCAGTGACAGGCTGAAAAACGATTAATCGGAATTAATGCATTATATCAAGTTAGGACATTTGCCAGATGCTCGCGGTGTATCCGGAACTCGAGAGGGATTCAGGAACACGTCGATTCAAGGACTCGAGGGACAATCTTGGGCCGTCTATTTACCACTTTTGGCACGTGTTTGCTGCTGAAGAAGACGTGAAAGGTCACTAGCTGCGGGACCAGGGGGCTGCCACAGTTCCTCGAGTACCTGATGGCGTCGAGGGTCGCCGGGAAGTCGGTGCCGGGTGCGTGCATGGCGATCGATATCGGCGCCCGCCAGCGCTCCAGCAGCGGCTCCAGATTGTCGAGGAACGTGTAGTCGGCGTGCGTGGTGTATGTCACGCTCTCCCAGCATCTCACCGCCATGCTCATCGGCACGTAATTGTACAGCACCCAGTAATCGCCGCGCTGCGCCCGCCTCGGCTCGGTCGACTTCTCGTGGCAGGGCACGGCGTCCCTCAGGCTCATCGGTTCGCGCGCGATGCTCGTCGTGCCGTTCCTCATCTAGACGAGGACAAGAAAAAGAGAGAGAAAGTTTAATCGCCGTTCGAGGGGGAAATTTGCATGGAAAGCGGCGGAAATACCGTGAATAGCGCGCGGTGGCGAACGCCTACAAGCCTGAATACCTCTATCGACATACCCGATGATGCATCTCGAACCGCCTCTTTCGACGAGTTTAGATACAGAATAACGATAATTTACTTCATTAAATATCGCATAAGACCAATGAGAATATTTCTATCTCTATTATTATTGATACAAATTAATTACGATGTATATCTCCCGATTTCTATTAATTCTCGATTACATCTTCATTCCTATCGTCATAGACCGCTTCTAGCAATTGGACAAGCCGCATACAATGATTAATCTAAATGTCAGGAGTCATTCAAAGATCGAAGGAATCAGAGGGATCATGAGAAGAGAGAAGAGAGAAAAAAAAAAGAAAGAAGCGGTGGAAAACGGAAGGAGTGAATACCGTCTGATTACGGTGCTCCTGCGGCTTGTCGAGGACCTCGGCCTTGACTCCGTTGGGAGGCGTCGTGGTGACGAGGCTGATCCTGGGAGGACGGCCGGCGCCGTTGTTTGTCGGCGCCGCATTATTGGTGGCGCCGACGACCGCGGCCGAGGATGAGGAGGACGACGCGGCGGCGCCGACCTTCTGGGTGCCGTTGACGAGGTCGTTTAAGGCGCCGCCGTAGGTGTCCGACTGGAGCGGCGCCGCCGCCGCCCAGTTGGTCGGCGGTTCCTCGATCCACGGCCCGGACGAGCCGATGTGGGCACACACGTACAGCAGCACGCACACGTTCAGCACCACCGAGAGGCGCAGCGCCCAGTTCTTGCGGGCGATGGCCGCGATGCTCATCCTCCAGGTCCAATCGCGGTGACGAGGAGACGCGAAGATCTAGATGGGCAATCCTGTCCGGTTGACCGATGGTCAATCTCCCGCTCTTATTATCGATACTCGGGTCTGTGATTCTTCTCCTGCTGATGGCGTCGACCTGCCGCGTCCATCCCTTCGCGGCCCACGACTGGTCTCGGCGATCAGGACCTGCTCATGGTCCCCCGGAGGCTGGTCGACCGGGGCTCGGTTGCGTGCAGCACCTGAAACGGGAGTGGAAGGAGACCTTTGATTATGACGGAGGTCGCTACAAATTGTTCCGATAGTTATTCTGTAACTTTGCGTACTGACAACACGCGAGCGCGTGTACCACTATATGCGCTCCCATTAGGCGACTTCAATGGTCTTCGGAAACAAGTAAACATCTGTACTATTGGTATCCGTTTTGTAATAATAAATTCTGAGCTCTCGAAAATAAGAACTATATAAAGTTATTGAATCTCTCTCTGGTAGTCCTGATTCCTTATCTTAATTCGCACTGAAGAGAGCATTTAAAAACGAATTTCTCACTGCAAATTAAATAGGCAAGCTTTCTTTAAATTATACACACAGCGCACCCAGCTATAAGCAGAAGCTTCTAAAAGACGTCTTAAAAACGTCTTAAAGCCGCTTAAAAGATCTCTAAAGAACGTCTGAAAAATTATGAACGTCTTTTAGAATTTTCCGCTAGCTGGGGCAGTTATATTAACACAACGCGTAAAATATAAGGTTTAATTAACACACATCCAGAATTATGTCACGCAAATAAACATTTAGCATTTTTATATCGCGTAAAATAACGATCAGTAAATTCAAGCGCTGCAGCGGCATGGCAGAGAGCGTTCGTCGCTGCAAATAGGTACACGTTCGCTCCGCCCCGTTTCATCTCCCTTCAATAGCAACTATAGCAAGTACAGCAACAGCTGCGCTATCGCTCGTTGGATCGCATCTCATTTATCTCACGATCCAGTTTATAGCGCGTGCTATACGCCGCGCCGGCGAGGACGACTTTCCCCCTATCTCGCATCTTCTTCCCCGTTCGACGTTCGAGTTGTGTCGCAACCCGAGCTCGTAACGCGACATCACCGGGGGACCGGGCGGTCCGAATTGAGCAATCGCGGAGATTCCGGTCGCCAACGGGACCGCGGGTGATCCCGTGGTTTCCAGCGCGAGCGCGGCGAGTGAAATCGACAGGGGGGAGGGAGGGAACGAACAGGACGGCTATTATCGAAAGACGGAAAGAAACGACTAATAAGAAGTCGTCGGCCTCCTCCTCGTGACCGATCTTGCGTCAACGCCTCCTTCTCGGCGAACGAACGCCGAACGGGACTCGCGAGTCACCGCCGATAATTTCGACGACTTTCACGCAGGAAGACGAGAGGATACTCTTTTCGCCGCGCGTGTTTCTCCGGTCACGAGTTTTCCCGGTAATCCGCGGGATTGATTTCCCCTCAAAGAAAACTCTCCGAAGCACGACGCCGTTTACGACCGATCGAGTCTTAAAATTTGCTTCCTTTTTATTCCGTTTAACGAAGTTCTGCATAATTGAAAGGGGTAGCCGCGCGGGAAGTATATAGCGACGAGAAGTGAGACGTCGCGTCGAAGAGGATCGATTCCGCATTGACCGAAGAGACTTCGATTAAAAAGTAATACCGTTACAACTGGGTCACCCTCCCCGTAATACAAGACAAACGCTTCTAAATGAAAAGCGAACGGGGAAACGGGCTTTAAAACTACTTTCAGTAGGAAAACATGGGTAACAGTGTTTTCGTGCCGCGAGAGAATAATTTACGGCATGCGATATTCGACTGTTATAACACAGCCGGGCGGTATAATTCAATCTTAAAGTTGGAATTATCGGCGCAGCATTGGGAAATCACATGATGCGCGCGATTTCTGCTTGCAAAATCCCTGCACTCTCCGTGACTTAAGAAAGATGCAGAGTCGCGTAATAAACGTCTCTCGCGCCTTTGTGTTCCGCCGACATATATAGCCGTATTATCGACTCGAACGCCAAACGTTTACACAATTGTCCAAGATAAAGTGCAGTGGGATTTATTTACTTCAAAGCAATGGAAAAATAGGAGGATAACCGCGCGTAACACAGAAATGACAATTAGCACCGTTATCAATATCACTTAATCGATAATTACGTCGCTATACACGCGCAATCGTCGTCACGTAAATGGGCATAATTGGAATGTACGATGCGATGTGGAAAGAGATACACGGCTTTGCGGCTTTAACTTTTTCCCCACACAATGCGTAGCGTGATAGAAGTGATTTCCGATGTAGGACCGACCGCCGTCGCTCGCGATAAGAGCTCGATGCTCGATTCGACGGCCGTGGTCAATACGAATGCTCGTTAGCTGTCAATTGTGGTCGTTCGCGATCGGCAAAGTTTTTTAAAACGCTTGTAAAAAATAAATATCATCTAATATAAAATTTTCAACGATACAAATAGCTAGATAACAAAGTTAAGCGCGCTCTTCAAGCCACGATGCAGTTATATTGTCATATTGTACAATATCTTGTCATTATATCGCACACCGAGAATAATATACTGTTACAACTCCAAAAATTCACAATTTTCAGGAGAGAGGAAAAACAAAGTTGGTTCAATTTCTTTTGAATTGTGAGATAACTAACGCAATTGCAATTACGACATTTTGTTACAATAAAACTTATATACGGTTTTCTTGAAGACGTCTGCTGTAATTCACCTGTCAATTCACTTATGACACTAATTATTCATCCAGTGACCGCAGCTTAATCGACCGTAACTTAATTAAAAGAATAACGACACTTCTGCTATACCGTGCGAAGAATGAAAATTCTATCGTGGGATGCACGGTTAACAATTTCACAGATGCTAGTACTATAAATAGCGTCAACTCGTGTCCAATTGAAGACGTGTGTGTGACTTGGAATACGGTCATAATTTTAAGACTTTATTATTACGTCATTTAACACACCTGGGGGAGCACAGTCTGTTACGCAATATTTCTACTTAACGTGTAAGAAGTAAAAAATTTGGGCAGATAACGATAGGTGTCAACGATCGCGTCGAATAACAAATAGTGACGGTAAAGATATCAAATGGATGGCAGGGAATCACGAAACGACGGAGAGGAAACGTCACGAAGGACACCGGATCGCGAGAAACGAAGTAAAATCCGCGAGGCCCCCCTCCCCCTCGACGATTTCCCATCGTCGAAGCGACAGGTTTTTAATTATCGACTTCCCTCAAAGAGCCAACCATCCGTTCATCATCGATCGCAGGGGAGGAAAACTCATCAACGGCCGGGCGCGGCGTAGGAGTTCTTTGATCGCGGGAACGCAAACACGATCGCTATTTTTAAAACGCGAACACACGCCGATCCCCCACGCCTGCCGTGCAATCCTTCCGTAAAGCCCGCGCGCTTATATATACGGAAAGTTCGTGATAACGGATCGCGCCGTTATCTCGCGGAAATTTTCACTCGATTCTTTCAGCGCGCCCCGGACGCGTGGAAACGGCGCGGTGTGTACGGCAGCCCCGTGGAACTTTTCTGTTATAACTTCGCGAATATTAACACACCCCGACAGCCGCGTTTTCCGTACTTAACAAATCACGTTGCGCACAACGTCGAAACTTTGTTGCTATCTTCAATTACATTACGCTTTAGATATGTGTATATATATATAAAATACACATACCTCTCTGAAAGTTATAGCATAATATAATTTATTAGCATAATATCATCATATATCGATATGATAGCATAATATCATTTATTTACAATGTTATTCTTATAACAAAGGACACGTATATTCCAAAAGAAGTATATTTAAAAATAAGATTGTTAAAAAAGATAACGAAACGATAATGATCATCACGCGACTTATGCGATGTTCGCAAAAAGATATAAAAAAAAAGAACCAACTTATTGTTACTCGTACAGTTGCTGGCAATTGATACTAATCGCAATATCAATTCTTGCGCAGTAGCAGCTATTATATCAAACGCTTGCGATTGTAAACAGTAAAAAATAACGAGCTCATTATACGCAGCAAAGCGAGTTACCCAAAAACAGAGACGTATCTGCGACAAAGGCAATGACTATCAGCTCAATTCAAATATTTGTAATAAAGCAATGAACATTGACTGTACAAACATTTACATTACAATTTCACTTTCCACTCGACTCGGATATATTGATTCATCGATGACGAACGACATTGCCCGACTAATGAGATGCCTATGTATCGCATGAATAATAAATCAACTTTATAAATATCGTCAGTCGAGCATAATAAGCTTAATCGATCGGAAGCGAATTTTGGTGGCTCAATAAACGTAATATAATATCCTGCAATCTATAACAAAGAACATTTTAATAATGTTTTCGGATATACAATGTCTGCTCCGTTCCATTTTGTTTCATTTGATAAATTTAACAGAAAATCCAGATTTTACCGCACGATTTTTCTCTGTAAGTTATTTGCACATATTTAATAAATTTTTTTTTTCCAACGTTCACTTTTTAAATAGCTCGATGAGTCTTCGTCGTGAAAATTATTTCCGCGAGCTTCCTGGGGTGGAAATTTGAAGATGGGAAGAAAAAAAGGAATTGGAAAAAATTATGCTAGATTATGCAAGATGGGTTTTCGATTTAAAGTTCTATACTCCAAGATACCTAATGTCAACGGAACTGGGATTGAGAAAGCTTAGGATAGGATGGGGTGGAAGGGCAATGGAATATGAGGAAAAGATTGAGAGCAGATGGGTCAAGAAATGTTGGATAGAGAAAGAGAAAAACAAATGGAAAGACAGATATGGTAGAAAGAGAGAAAAGTACTATAATAGAAACGGGTGGGGGGTGGAAGCAGTCGAGTTGTTAAGGAGAGAAGGGAGGAACTTAGAGGAAAAGATTAAATTAAGAGACTGAGAGATACAGAGGCAAGTGGAAGAGAATAATATAATAGAGTCAAAGTATAAAACAGAAAGTATAAAGAGTTAGAGAGAGACGGAAATAGACCGGAATATCTAAGGAGGGCAAACATAGATAAAACAGATCGAAGGGGATAGTATCAGAGCCCTGATAAAGCTGAGATGTGGTAACATGGAATCGGAGAACATGTATTGGTGGGGGGAAGAGAAAAAAATGTGTTTGTTCTGCAAGGAAGAAAGGGATAATTTGAAACACTATGTGGAGGAGTGCAGCAGTATAAAGAATCGGTT